ATCACAGTCACTATAAAAATAGTTAGCTAAGAATAACTAATCTTGTAGTCGTGATTGCACAGTGTTGTGATAGCAGTTGTAGTCGTGATGGCACAGTGTTGTGGTAGCAGTTGTAGTAGTGATGGTACAGTGTTGTGATAGTAGATGTACTGGTGATGGTACAGTGTTGTGGAAGTAGTAGTACTAGTGGTGGAACAGTGTTAGTAGTTTTAGTAGTGATGGCACACTGTTAGCTGTTGCAGTAGTGATGGTACAGTGTTGTGGTAGTAGTTGAAGTGGTTATGCACCCCAATGAAACCCACCCGAACCCCACCCCACATACCATCCACCCTAACCACCTGCCCCTCCTCCCCTACCTCATACCTGTGCAAACGAAACGGGCTGGCTTCCTTAATTAATAACGCCACACCACCTTTCAATCGTGTAGAATAACCCATATACACTTCATATCCAGTAATCGACAATTCACCCAAAGATTTATAATTATGTTCTTGCTGGAACACGAGCTCTGGCACAAATCTCCTCAAATGGACCTCCAATACTTTATATTTGCCCACTGCTTTCAACCCATTAACATTTAAAGTAAGTCACTTGAAGGTCGTAATGGACCCTCATTCTGACCTTCAAGGCACCCTACACTTAGAACCCAGGCGAGAATTACTCCCCCCGCCCCCCACACTTGACATTACCTTCCCCTTGCACACACTCAATATTCTTTAAGCCACATTTATCTCTCTGCGTTACATCATGCCAAGCTTTCTTCCCAGTCATTTGACCAGGCGTCAAAACATCCTCACTATCAGAAATAACAGCCGCCCTCTTGCGAGAGCTATGCTCCTCAATCATCTCCTCCCGGGCTTCTTCCCTGTGGACCTCCACTGCCACACTCGGAACCAGCCCCTTACCCTCACTTCCTTCCTCACCCCTTCCTCAACACTCACGGTATCCAAACCAGGAGTATTGTCCACATTAGACACCGAAACATCCAATAAGTCGTGCAGGGCCTCCTGAATGGAAGCTTCCAGAACATCATGTTCTAGCTAACAAAATTAGGGCGGCAGTTATAACCATCTCTGAATCCTGGTTGGATGATACGGTGACTGACGACGATGTCAAAATAGAAGGTTACAATATAAAACGCTTAAGAGATAAGATAAGATAAGATTTCGTTCGGATTTTTAACCCCGGAGGGTTAGCCACCCAGGATAACCCAAGAAAGTCAGTGCGTCATCGAGGACTGTCTAACTTATTTCCATTGGGGTCCTTAATCTTGTCCCCCAGGATGCGACCCACACCAGTCGACTAACACCCAGGTACCTATTTGCTGCTAGGTGAACAGGACAACAGGTGTAAGGAAACGTGTCAAATGTTTCCACCCGCCGGGAATCGAACCCGGGCCCTCCGTGTGTGAAGCGGGAGCTTTAGCCACCAGGGTGGTGGAGTATGTGTCTACATTAGAAATGACTTAACTTACAACCCAAGACCTGATTTAAATAACAATAAACTGGAGATTCTATGGTTTGAAGTGCTGCATCCCAAGACCAAACCCATCTTAGTAGGAACTAGTTACCGCCCTCCCACCCAGGACCAGTTCTTAGAAGACTTTTCCAGAGTATTGTCCGGACTTGAAAACAATTGCGAGACAATAATACTGGGCGACTTCAATATCTGTTTTCAGCAGCAAAATAACGGGCTATGCAAAAGGTATAAGCAAATACTAGGTTTAAATAGTTACACTCAACTAATTAATACACCAACCCGGATCACGAAGTTCTCAGCCACCCTAATTGACCACATACTTTGTAACCGCTCTGAGAACATTAGTCAGTCAGGCGTCATTACCACAGGTCTTACTGATCATTTCATCATTTACTGCACTCGGAAAATCACTAGGAATAGGATAGGCCTACACAGGACAATAAAAATGAGGTCAACTAGAAACTACAGTAAAGAAACACTGGTAAATAGGCTACACAATTGTGACTGGACAGAGATAACAAGTCAGTGGCTGGCTGGATGGCGAAACGTCTACGATAGGGATGCCCGGGTGTTGTGCATGTGTCTTAATTTCATCTTGTCGGTATTATATACAATTCTTGTACTACTACTACCACCACCTCTTCCTGCCTATATATAGCCGTCCTGCTCCACCTCTGGTTAGTGTGACTGTCAATGGTCCAAGTCGGACCGAAACGTCGTCGTAAGCTTCTCTCTTTTATGTGCGGGTTATTTGTGTATCGTTCCAGTCACGGTATTGTGCCTGTTTTGTTATTTATAGATAACAAGTTGCAAGGACGTAAACGATGCCTGGGAAAATTTCAAAACAATGTTCACTACCATCCTTGATAATATTTAAAGTAAAAGGACACAAGGTTAGGATTAAACGAAGAACTTGTGGAAAATACTGTATATATTTTCCAGAAATTCAGTATTTATGTGTAAATAGATGGCCATACTGTATTTAATAATATTTATGTCATAGAAAACGGAAAGCCTGCGTCTGCGTAGGAGACTAGCCATCTTGGTTTTGAATTGTGCACAACGTTGGTGTGATGGGAAGGAATTTTCGTGCTCTAGAGGTTGAAATTGGGCTGACACCTCTCAAATAGGAGGCGAAATTGTTGGATGTGCATTCCTGCATAATTTGAGTATCAGGCGACAGGACAGGACAACTCCAGGAACCTCAGATCAGCTGTCTAATTTATGTTTAAATTCTGGCCAGTAAATTTTTCATAAATGTAGGCAAAAAGGGGGGTCCTGTACATGACACATTAATCTCCAGTCAAATTGGTGAGTGATATTAAGATATATTTTCTCTCTCACCCTAATCTTGCCACCCTCAACACCATTGTGAATGAGGAGCTGATCAAAATATCAACTTGGATGACAGCCAATAAACTTACGCTTAACACTGACAAAACCTACTATATTATGTTTGGTAGCAGAGCAGGAGATGCACAAATTAACATTAAGATTGACAACACTCTAATTACCAGAAATAATGGGGGCAAATTCCTAGGCTTATACCTTGACAACAACCTGAATTTCAGCACCCATATCCAGCATATAACCAAAAAAGTATCCAAAACGGTTGGGATCCTTTCCAAGATACGATACTACGCTTAACACTGACAAAACCTACTATATTATGTTTGGTAGCAGAGCAGGAGATGCACAAATTAACATTAAGATTGACAACACTCTAATTACCAGAAATAATGGGGGCAAATTCCTAGGCTTATACCTTGACAACAACCTGAATTTCAGCACCCATATCCAGCATATAACCAAAAAAGTATCCAAAACGGTTGGGATCCTTTCCAAGATACGATACTACGTGCCGCAAAATGCCCTTCTCACACTATACCACTCACTTATTTATCCATACCTCACCTATGCTATTTGTGCTTGGGGATCAACTGCAGCAACACACCTAAAGCCAATAATAACCCAACAAAAAGCTGCGGTAAGAATAATCACTAAATCCCATCCCTGGCAACACCCCCCCCCCCCCACTCTTCATAGACCTAAACTTACTCCCTGTTCAGTAAATAACAAAAAGGCACAATACCGTGACTGGAACGATACACAAATAACCCGCACATAAAAGAGAGAAACTTACGACGACGTTTCGGTCCGACTTGGACCATTGACAAAGTCACACTAACAGAGGTGGAGCAGGACGGATGCCCGGGTGTTGTGCATGTGTCATTTCATCCTGTCGGTATTATATACAATTCTTGTACTACTACTACTACTACTACTACTACTACCTCCACCTCTTCCTGCCTATATATAGCCGTCCTGCTCCACCTCTGTTAGTGTGACTTTGTCAATGGTCCAAGTCGGACCGAAACGTCGTCGAAAGCTTCTCTCTTTTATGTGCGGGTTATTTGTGTATCCCTGTTCAGTACATCCACACTTACTACTGTGCAATCTATATCTACAGGGCCTTAAACTCTAATATCAACCTTGACCTAAAACGCTTTCTTGATAGTTGTGACAGAACCCACAGGCATAACACCAGACACAAACATCTCTACGACATTCCCCGTGTCCGACTAAACCTTTACAAAAATTCAATGTATGTCAAAGGCCCTAAAATCTGGAATACCCTACCTGAGAACTCTAGAACTGCAGACACATTCATCACCTTCAAAACTACCATTAGAAAACATCTTATCTCCCTGATACACCCCGTCAACTAACTACACGAATACCACCTGGTGGTTCACACTTACACTCACTGACTCATTTGACCATAACCATAAATATTAATCTCAATCTTAAAATAATGAATCCTGTGATACTCCAATACTGAAACTATGTACTGTGCCAAAACAAAAGCATTTACATTGCTAAACTCACAAACTAGTATTTAGTCACTTAGCCATAATACCAACTTACCTCATAATTTGTAATATTTTACAATTAAGAATAATACTAAGTCTGCCCGAAATGCCTAGCCATGCTAAGCGTTCTAGTGGTACACTCTGTAATCACTATTTTACTACATGTAAACCACACAATAACCAAATTTCTGTAAACTCAGTATTGTAATCCTTATAGAGAATAAACTTTGAATCCCTAAAAGCTACGAGTCGATTATTTATATTTGCTCTCCTTGAACTTCCTGTTTGAGTATGCCTCCACAAGTGTGGCTCCTCGCATACAAAAACCTTCTTTAATACTTTTATAAATAAAGTCGTCTTTTACCTGATATAAATCCTACATGTAGTTTCGTATTATATTGAAAATAGTATTTAATTTTGTAATTTTATACAAATGAGAAAACTATTAAATAATTTAAAATAAAGAATATGTCATGTAAAAGCGTTGAGACTAAGAATTAGATACGAGAGTTGTGTTGAGAGAGAGCAGAGGGTCACTCGGCCACCGTAATGGCGGAATATGAAAACACTGCTGTGCTCTGTTTACTTTGGTGGATCCTCTGATGATCACCTTTATATTATGGTTCCGTGACTGGACGCAAGGTAGGAGTCATCTCGGGGATTCGAGTTACTGCCCTTTCGGGCTTCAGCGAATAGAAAGACCGTGTTTAAGGAGACTGGCGGGAAGGTATTATTTGGGTCGTCGTCTCAACTAGGCTCATCAATCCTGACGGGATTATTTGCAATTTTATGGGCCCTATGCCAGTAAGGCGGACGCTTGGACACGCTGGGGGTTGCTTGTGCCCCGCAGCGTATGACTCCCACCTTCAGGAAAGTTGTTAAGGTAAGGGTAGCTATATAAATATTATGACATTTACTCTCCCCGAGGCTACAGATGTCACAAGTACCAGACTGATGGCGGCGCTTGTTGGGTTATTGTGTCCACTTGATGGGCCACCTTGTTTTGGTGTCTTGGAGTCTTATTAGACGCCTTGTGGCCTTGGGCGCCTAGGAGTCTTGCTTGTATCGGAGGGCTTCGTCAGGCATTATGGCATCTGATCTAGTATTTTGGGACCCAGCTGGTTGTTTTAGAGTTACCGGGTGTTTCAGGGTATAATGTGCCTTCAAAGAGCTTTGTTGGACGTCCAGGTCTTCATCAAACATCCCAGAGCTTTGTTATCCATCATGTAACTTTCTAGACATCCCAAGCCGTTGTAGGTCGCCCTGGGGACGTTGTTAGACATCCCATTGGAAGGAGGAACCCATGCTGGATGTTGTGGGTTCTCCTTATTGATGTTGCAGTGCCTGCCTCGCTAATATTGCAGTGCATCCCTTGCTGACATCCCAGGGGCCCCCCTGCTGACATCGCAGAGCCCCCCTCGCTGACGCCGCAGGGACCCCACCCTCGCTGACGCCGCAGGGACCCCACCCTCGCTGACGCCGCAGGGACCCCTCCCTCGCTGACGCCGCAGGGACCCCACCCTCGCTGACGCCGCAGGGACCCCTGCCCTCGCTGACGCCGCAGGGACCCCACCCTCGCTGACGACGCAGAGCCCACTTCTTTGATGCTTCAGGGTCTCCCTTATAGACATTGTAAGACCCCACTGAACACCCTAGGGGCACTGCCGAATGTCCTGTGGCCCAGCCAAATGTCCTGGGACCTCACCAAATGTCCCAGGGCAGCCACTGAATGCTGGGGCCGTGCTGTATGTCCCAGAGCCACACAGGTCTTTGAAGCTGCACAGAACATCTCGGGGATGAACAGAATATCGTGCTGTCTTTCCAAATGTCCCAGGACCACACTGAAAGTCCTGAGGGTCTCATTGAACATCTGGTAAACTACTCTATTATTTTAATTGCATAAATAACGTCAGTACATTGTGGACAAGTATTAGACCAGCCAGTTGGACGAGTGATGTAATTTGTATACAGGTGTCATCCGACTTACGACCAAGCTTGGTTCCGACCAACCGGTCGTAAATCAAAATGGACGCAAGTCAAACCTTACTACTGAATATCAACATCACACTTTTATAATGATTTTGTTTTATTGTTTTATTTTGGTATTTCATTTTTTACTTTTTATGCTGTTAGTACTGTATTTTATATTATAAGGTTTAGGATAAACACTGTGTACAACACAAACAGTTATTTTCCCAGAAATTTGGCATACAAAACATGGTCGTAAGTTGAGTGGTCGTATGTCAAGCAGGTAGTAAGTCGGATGGTAGGTGTACTCTGGAATATCGGCAAAATTCAAACATTTTCCGCTGCTTCGAGCTCAGTTTCAAGCTGTTTTCAGTCCTGAAACCAGTGAAAATCTCTTCTATTTCTGTAATAAATCTTCTAATCTATCAAGTGAGACCAAGAAACCGAGAATACAACCATAAAAACCATGCAGAAATACACTGCAAAGTCACTGTTTTTAAACTAAAAATATGGTTGCAGGTTTTTCCTTATTATGCACTACTTGCTGAAGGATTTTTTTTATATGGTTTGCACTTTATCATACAGACCCATTCCCTCATATCTAGGCTCAAATTTCCCACTTACAGCTTATCTGAGAGAGCTGAACTCATGGCACAGAACTATGGGACTGACCCTTTCAGAGTTGGTCCCGTAGCACTAGAACTATGGGATTGACCCTGAAAGGGCCAAAGTAAGAGCCTTAAGACTCTTTATCACATCTACTCTTAGATATCATTGTAACACAAAAAGAATATATATAAAATATGCTATGACTTTAAAACACTTTACACTTTGAAAAGTTTCCAGGCAAACTTAGAGACACGGAGCTCACAGAAGATGTCGACAAACCGAGAGTAAGAGAGAAGGGGTACGAGTATGCCATAATACCGAATCAAGAGCCGTATAAACGAATTTTTGTGTATACATATTTGGATTTCCCATACATGCTGGCAAACTCCAGCACCTTCACACAACTCCTATATTTTTTCAATAACTTCTTTCTTAAATTCCATTGTGTTTCTCACTTTCTTTACCAAAGGAACTTTACTAGGAACTTTCTTTGGGCCCATGATTGCTTATTTCACAGTTGCACTCGGTCAGTAACCACAAAGTACAATGGATTATAGCAAAATGTCTGGATGAATGAGCAGTTTCCTCACTTGCCCAGACACACAGCCAGACTGACTCATGAACGCACGAGCAACTGGCAGGCAGGCGGGTGGACATGTTCAAATACGACCAATAAGCGAAATAACAGCCAATAACTGGAACAAAATTTTGCCCCAAAAACCAGTCGATAACCGTGGGTCCACTGTACTTCAAATATGGAAAATGCATAGCCCTACATTGCTTAACTTGGAATATACAGTATAAATTGGTCCAAACAATTATTTTTTTTATTTTGATCTTTGGTAGAAGGAATACACCTACCATCCGACTTACGACCTGCTCGACTTATGACCACTCGACTTACAACAGTGTTTTTTATGCCAAATTTCTGGGAAATAAACCACTATTTGTGTCGTACACAGTGTTTATCCTAAACCTTACAGTATAAAATACAGTACTAACAACATAAAAAGTACAGTGGACCCCCGCATAACGATGGCATCGCATAGCGATTTTTCCGCATAACGATTACTTTTATCGCAAAATTTTTGCCCCGCATACCGATTAAAAACCCGCATACCGATTTTCGTCCGAGACGCGTCCAATGTGCCCTCACATGTGCCGGCCGTCCCATTGTTTACCAGCCAGCCTCCGCGGTAACATCCAAGCTACACTCGAATATTTCGTATTATTACAGTGTTTTCGTGCTGTTTGTGAAAATAAGTACCATGGCCCCAAGAAGCTTCTAGTCCAACCTGTGTAAAAAGGGTGGAATTATATAAATTAGAAAATTTGAAGGGTTGGGCTAACCCTGAGAAGCCTATGGGCATTGTGGATCCATTGGCCTACTTCAAAGATTAAGGAAATGTGTGCAGAGTGGGTTGAACTGCAACCTTTATAGATGAAAATCACCCCTGACACAGCGTTGCAACCGTGCTTGTGACTATTTCAATGACAATGTTATGGCCATTTTTAGGAAAGTCTTGAAGGAACGGGAGTACGAGCTCTATGGACAGATTTGTTGTGCGACAGAGGTCCAGTGACTCTCAAGCTGGTCCTAGTGGCATTAAAGAAGAAGGGAAGTAACCCAGAAACAGGACTTGCTACTCAAGTCCTAATGAAGGGGATTCCCCTTCTAAACAGTAAGAAGATAATGCTCTTCCCCTCCTCCCATCCCATCAATCATCACCAGATCTTCAATAAAAGTAAGTGTCATGTAATTGTGCATGCCTTTTTCAGTTTGTGTGTATTAAAATTAACATTTCATGTGGTAAAAAAAAATTTTTTTCATACTTTTGGGCGTCTTGCACGGATTAATTTTATTTCCATTATTTCTTATGGGGAAAATTCATTCGCATAACGATTATTTCGCATAACGATGAGCCCTCTTGCACGGATTAAAATCGTTAACCGGGGGTCCACTGTAAAGTAAAACATGAAATACCAAAATAAAACAATAAAATAAAGTCATTACAAAAATGTTTTGTTGATATTCAGTAGTAAAGTTCGACTTACGACCATTTCGACTTATGACCGGTTTCTCGGAACCGAACTCGGTCGTAAGTCGGAGGGTAGGTGTACTTATGATAATGAAATGTGACTTCTTTCCAAAACATGGAAATAAATTGCATTGACCATATTGAGTTATCCTATTACTGTTTCAAAGTGTAATACCCATAAAAACATCAAAATAAGTTACTTTGATTTTATTGGGTTATCCAAAGTTAAATCATCATAGTGTGCTGTTTGGTTGAAGTCCAGTGTTGTAATTACAGTAAGGCCCCGCTTTACGGCGTTTCGCTTTACGGCGTTTTGCTTTACGGCGTTTTGCTTTACGGCGTTTTGCCTTACGGCGTTTCGCCTTACGCCGTTCCGCTAATATGGCGATGTCAAATTATGACCAAATTTTGCTATATGGCAAGCGGTCTTTCAAATACGGCGCTCCCCACCCGGTTTGTTTACATTTTCTGTGACCACATCTATTATGTCAGGAAACTTTCCAAAATTTCAAGTGTTTTCAAGTTACTGCATATTTTATATGTACTCTGATAATTATACTTATGTGTACCTTTACCTAAATATACTTACACACTGTGCTGGTGTGCAGGTACACATTAAAAACGCTAAGTCTCTCTCTACTCATGACGCCAATACTACGTAATAATAATCACTCTTGGGCACACTAAATGTCTTATTTTACATCGATATAGGCATTTTCATTAATCCATCTATGATATTTTCCTCAAAATTATATATGAAACCCATTACATAGCATATAAACATGATACATACACTCACAGAATAAAAATTGATGTAAATATGAGATTTGTTTACAAAGCTGCTGTGTAGGTAGTGTCGGAAGAATTGCGTTTTCTCTAGTCAAACTGGGGGATAACTGTAGAAAAATATTCTTTTCGTATGCCTTTACTCTATATATAGCAATTCACGACCCTTGTGGGTTTAGTGCTTTTTATTATAATAATAATAATATTATTAATAATATTAATAATATTAATAATATTATTATCTTCATTCACTCTAAAAATGGTGTGTTGCTGTTTGTTTATTCTGAACTAACTTGTACACAATGTACGAGTATTTGTATTGTGAGGTAATTATTATTATAATAAAAAAAATAATGAGGTAAATGTTTCACAAACTCTTACAAACGTACGTGAATGAACTAAAAGTAGACACACATTAATACGCATTTATTTCGCCTGACCAAGTGATCGTCCACTACCTGTTCAGTTTGTGTTCTTACAT